GATTCACTGAGTGGGCGAGTAAGTGGATGGCCAGGGACTCCCAAGTACAATGCATGATTAATGATCTGCAGACATTTTGGGTTTTTTTTTTAGGCGCCGGTTCTTTTCGGGCGTAGGAATTAAAAAATTATTTGGAGGGGCAGTGTAAAACGTGTGGGCATCATTCATCGTTATCGTTATCGAATTATGCGGCAATTACTTGCTGGAATCATCGACAACCAGCGCCCTTCCTCCGACTGTCTGCTTAGCATTTGTCAATCATTAATCACACAATTTATGTTAATTGAATTGACGTCGATTTATGGCAATTTTTCAATCAGATTTCCGTTTTTTTCTTTTTTTTTGTATTTCGTGGCCCGTCCTTCGCTTGAACTGTCAGTTTCATATTGATTTTGCATAAAAAATCAAATTCCCGCCCAACCTCCCACGAGGAGGACGATGATGATGATGATGACGATGTGACAATAAAATGTCCGCAGTGCCCATCGTTGGCCATGGCCATAAAATGTATCCATGGATGCATGAGTATAAGCGCTTTAACTGCAGTTATTCCCTGCTTTTATGGACAGTGCGTTGCATAACCGTAATGCAGTTGATGATTTGAATTGCGGGGATTTATAAACTATAAACTAAAGCTCTAAAAATGCGGGGATTTCGTAGATGCGCACTTAATTCCCTAATGGGAATCCGTTAAATCTGTTTAAAAGTCATTTATTTTATATGCTATTATTCAAGCAAAAACGTTCTTTATTCGATTAAATCTATTCTTGTCTAATTCTAAAGTCTAATGAAGAAAGATACTTGATAATTGAAGTCAGTTGTCATTACGCTTGCCGTCTAATTGTCACACGCACTGTATATTATAGCCGAAATCAACTCAAACAATTGACCCAGTTAGAAACGCATACTAGCAAACACATTCTCTAACTCACACACAAACAAGCTTCACTGATAGTGTGTGTACTTCCGATGGATGGTCTAAATTTAAGTTTACCCAATCGTAACGAAAGCTTGACACAAGGGAACCTCCTCCGCAGCCAAAGCGCCCATATTTGTTTAGCTTGATTACAGACCAAATGTGATTTAAGGCACGTTAAATACATACAGACACGTTTCCGCAAAGCAGGAATTGGAAAGGGGAAAGCGGACAATCCACCGGGCCACAATCAAAGCTCAGGCAACAACAATTTAGAGCCCGCCAGACGGACAGACCGTAAGTGGAGTCGTGTCCTGTGGTCAGCTGCAGTTCCACTTTACTTTTCGTCCTCGTACATCTCCGATGAAGCCATAAAATATGCAAGCGCACGCCCCTCTTATTTTCCGAACGCCCACATATTTTCACTTGCCACTCAGCAACAAGGCCATGTTCGCTATTGAAAATTTCCCTTTTAAAGGAAATTTTAGTTAAAAAACAACGCAGTTTTTGTTAAACTATTTTCTTGCCAAATATTATTATATATTTCTTTTAATAATTACTTTTAAAATAAACTGTAACAAATGAATTTAAAGTAAAATTTTAGACTTTATGCAGGTTTCCAATTCCATTACAACCGAACAACTTGAGGAGCAATAACCATTTTAGGTTTTGAGTACAGCTTTTTGAGCAGAAAAAAGTTCGACAAGGAATCTGCAGTAATGAATCTGCACATCCACATTCGGCTCATCTCGGCAGAGGTTAAAGTGGAAGCTCTGTCGGAGATTCACTATTTTGGAATGCCTTCGGAAGTTGTTTCTGGCGTAGAAGTGGCAGTGATTCTGGTTTTGTGTCTATGCCACTGCCTGTGATGCCGCTGAAACCACAGCCAAAACAAACCCGAGCAACGCATCAGGAGACTGAGAGTGGCAGTCTTGGTCCATCCAATTCAAATGCACTTGGAAAAAATTGAAAAGGATTTAAGCAATTGAAGAACGGATGAAATCTTCGATTTTAAAAGCATAATTTAGTTGGTGGAAATTGGAATACATTTTTTATAAATATCTGCACTATCACATTTCCTTTTTTACTTCGCAGGAATTTCTCTCAGTTTTGAAATCTCTGTCAGACTCCAATGAGGTTGAGGGGCAGGCGATGCTGCTGTTACCTGGTTAACTCGTTGTTTCCTTGGCCCCACCTTGCTGAAATTGCCCGTATGTACAGTTTGTGGTCTCGATTTGTAATTAAGTCGAAGTTGCCTCTTTTAATGCATACTTTTAGCTGTGCTTTCGGCCTGCCTAAATGACAAATCGTTGCGGGTGAGAAACTTCAGTTTCTGCGTATGAAGGGGAATCATAAAAAAGAGGGCAAATCCTTTGATTTGTGTGCGTGCCGATGCCAAATTGCTTAATCTCCCTTCGCACGAACACTTGACCCAATTTTTAATCACTTTCCAAGCACACATGCTCACTTCTGCTCCGTTCCGGCATAAATTTGTGTCTTAAAACTTTCCACCTGGCCAAAGCGAAAGTTTCCATTGCACGTTTTAAGCTGCCCCAGCAGAATCGCCGTCCGAAACAAGCTTAAAAATTGTGAATAAAGCCAAACCGACGTAACTGCCACAAACTCCGAACTGCCGTTTTCGAGATGGAATATTTTGGGGAATAATATTTGGCAATAATCTGAACAGGATATTAAAGGCTAAAAGTTCTTCTTGTAAAATTCAGAACCTTAACGGTCAATTTGTTAACTCAAAATTTTACTTTTACCAACTTGATGATGAAAACTTAACTTTGATTTAAAACTCTTGTTTGAAATATTTTCAGAATCCAATCGAAAAATAAATTTTAATTTTTGGACGGCCACCTCTAGTCTCACTATGCATATGTGCACTTTTTGAGGTAATTCCTGTGCTACAAAATTTTCTAAAAACACATTTGCTCAGCACGAAACACGGAGACAAGGCCAATTGTGTGTGAGCACAACTTTTTGTTGTGCGGGCGCAAAAGTTTCTGACAATAATAAGCAAATGCCCAAAAGCGAGCAGGGGGATACTGTTGTTTTGTCTCCACTGCTACAATTGCCAACACTAAAGTCCCCTCAGAAAATATATATATCCCTCCTGTTGTTGGTGCAAATACGATTAAATATGGCAAAAGTTGTGCGTACACACACGTCGGCCATTTTATTTAGATTGCAAGAGGGCAAAAACAGAGGCAGTAACAGAAAGAGGAGCACCAACAACATTGAGGTTGTCGTCGGAGGGACCCCAAAAATATTTTGTGTACTGAAAACGATATTTAATAAATATTTGTTTATAAAATAATTTAAATCAATTCGAATTAATCCCTGTAAAATTACTTATAACAGATATGACTGATCAAACCCAGTTCTTAGAAATCACCAAAGATAATCTTAATATTTTGATATGTTCCAGAAATAATCATATACGGACACCTTATTAATTCCTTTCAAAATAATCACATGTATTTAAATTTCAAAAAACTTCTGGCTTATGGAATTCCTAAACAATTTCTAAATAACCACATAAGTCTGCAAAGTTTTACAATATTTTTTTGCTGTGCAAATGTGTGTGCTTTTCCTGCTAACAAGGGCAACACATGTTTTTGTGTTTGGCCCGGCTCGCACAAAGCACAGCAATTCTGTTAACAATTTTATTATTAAAATGATGTCAGTGCCTCAGTTCGTTTTACCACTCGCTTCCTGCGGCCCGGCAATTGACCACAAATGCATTAGAGTCGCCTCCACCTCCGCCTCCGCTTTCACCTACTTCCCAAGGCGAATTACACAAAAATTTGCAACACTCCATGCCATGCATAGATAAATAGGGGAATGTGTGGAGGCCAATTTCTGTGGTAATCCCCGGATGACCTACAAGTTGTCGGACATCGGTGTAGGAATTTCTGCACGGCTTACTTTGGTCGGAAATTGGCTAATTGATATAAATTTTTTACAATAGAATAACAATTCTGAACTGGTGAATTCAGTTGTTAGCGAACGGGTCGATATTTAATGGATTAAATATACGTTTCAATAAATCATTCATCCCGGTCAACCTGTGTTATTATACGGCTTATTTACTCCGGAGATATATCAACTGATATTCGTTCTTGTTTATTTATTTTATTATTCGGTCTTTATTTACATTTTTATGCGAGATCCACTTTCCCCGTCTGGATTTGCTCAGCTTTAGGCTATCGAAAACGCAAGTAACTCCCCCATTTTTCCCCCCGCCCAACAACCTGATTATAGAGCCAACCGTTCACAGCTCCTGAGCAGTTATTACGTTTTACTTATTGCATTTTTCTGCTCTTTGCATTTTCGCTTGAGCTTGCAAAACGATACAGGAACGGGAATGGAAATGGTAACGAGGATTCAAGGAGCCCCAGCATGTGGCTCACATGACATCTGGCCAAGGGGGAGATCACTGTGTTCCTGTATTCCTGGTGGGAGGGGGACGAAAAATGGGGCAACGAGGACGAACCCCCGTTGAGCTAAGCTCTATGCCCTCGCCCATTGTTTGTTTGTTTTTACAACTCTGATTGAGGTGAAATTGCATATTTCTGTGCTCTTTCCTCATTCCATTTCATTTCCTCAACTGCAGCACCATCTCCCCCTCTCCCTCTCTCTCTCTCTCTCTCTCTCTCTCTTTCTCTTTCTATTTGTGTAATATTTTCAAACGTTTTATTGAATGTCGTTTACCGCTTGCACTGTTTGCCAGTCCTGGCTTTTCCTTTTGCCACGTGCCCATCTTCAGCTCCATCTCCACATTTTCTCCTGGCTTGCACTTATTTCACCTGTGCTTTCCCCGCCGCCTTGCCTTTGAGTTTATTGTGCGAATAAATGTCAACAATGGAAAAATGCACATGGATTGGCAGCCGATTTAAAAGTTGGAGTGATTGGAATATTTGTCAACGATTTTAAGATGGCCATTTTATGGCACAATTGCCAACACTTTAATCCTTTGGATTTCCATAAAAAAAATTTAAAGGGATACTGACTATTTTCCAATACTGTAGTTTTAGGATTTTTAGGTATCATTTCAAGGACTTATTTCTCGGCAGGCTTTGCTTTTCACTTTCGATAACTTTTTATTGATTTGCTCCAAATATACGCACAAATATACGGGTTCTGTCTGATACAATTATTACAAAAGCAGTCAATATTCACATAAAAAAGCAGGTAAATAACAGAAGAACCAAACAAAAAAGTTTTGCACAAAAAGAAAATCTCAAATCTGCTAGGGGCAGATCAAAAATGATGGAACATGAAAGAGATACTGAAAAATTAGAGGGCGAAAATATTGTGAAGCTAAATGCCTTCGCCCAGGAGTTTGTTCCACGTTCTAAAAAGGAAGAGTCAACTAAAGAAGAAGCTGATGAAATTAAGAAATCGTTTGAGGCTACAAAAGCGCAGACAAAAAAAATTACTCTGACATTGCCGTGGAAAGGATTTCCCAAGAAAACAGAAAGACGTAAGAAAATAACAACCTTATACCATCAAAAATTATGTTTACAATCTTTATTGTTTTAGCCGCTCGCAGTACTCAGGTGGTTTTATTAAATGATGTGGACTACACAATTCTTCCCCGTATTAAAAGAGCTAAGAATTCCAATGCCGATAACCCACTGGTCGTAAATGTTCCTACTACATCGTCCAAAAACCTTCAGATTTCACAAAAGCGTTTTGATGCCGAAGAAAAGCGCCGTGAAAATGAGAGGAAAGTGGCTTTGGAAGCCATCAAATTAGTGGAACAGAGACGTATGAGTGGTTCCATAGTGCCCACAAATCAAGAAAACGAAAATTCCAAAGTAGAACCAATTATACATCTCTCTAGATCTCCAATAAGATTTTCGCCAGAAGAAAGAATTAGGGTGGACCGCTTAAGAGCTGCGAAAAAGGAGCGTATAGAAAGGGTCCTTCGGGAAATGACAAACGAAAAGCAGGAACAACTAATGCAACAGAGTCAGAACATGATGAATAAGCAGACAGAAAAAACAGAGGAAAAGAAAGGAGAAAAGAAAACGGAGGAGATAGTGGGAAGTAATGAGGAGAACAAACTGGAAGAGAAAAAGCCAGAGAAAAATAAGGAAGAATCGGTTGTGGTTCCCCCCAAAAGATTTATACCCACCACAAAGGAATGGGATGAGCTATGTCGTGCCAAATATATGCCTAAATCGAATGGGGGAAAGGATATAGAAGCCAATCAACCAACACCTCGCAGCACAGCTCCATTAAATCGACCTCAGGTCAACCCCAATCTGGTGGACATCACTCCATCGGGAGTTATCAGACTGGGTGATCTTAGGGCTACAGCAAAGCCACGTTATTGTCCGCCAACTGATCTTCTTGAAACCGAAAAACGAAAGGGAAATCTCACTCATTTCCGACCACTTCCCAACTGGACAACCCGTCAGAAGCCCCAAGCTCAATTGAAGGAGTTAGTCAATCAGAAGGGGAGAGTAATCAAACGCTACAGCATAGAGCAATTACTACAACTGGAACCTCAACCTAAAGAGCTTGAGAAACCCTGCATAAATGAGCACCTAAAAGGCCTAGGATTTGTATGCGAATGATTTAAATACAATCTCTTATATCGAAATTCCTAAAGCTTAGTTTTTGATTTGACTGTTTGCTTTTTGTAAGTAGTAATCATCATAAGTGTTCATTGTAAGCAGGTAGATAAAAAGAAAATTTTAACCAAAGCAAAGAAAGTAAATTTGTCAATTTGCATATCTACTTTCTTTGCTTAGGTTGGAATTTTCTACTGAATTGAAAAGAAACTGAACTCAAACATAAACCATTTACAAATTGATATAGATACAACTTGAACTCGTATGGTTTATTATTACAGTATTAATGCATTGGCATTATTCTGCTCTTTGCAGTTTGACTCCCGTAATTGAGCAGCATAATTATTCGATGTCATTGGAGCCGCTGTCAACTGCATTGGCCAGGTGCAATAATTTTAATGCCATTATTGTGCTTATTATTATTATGCCTACTGTGCGCAGTCCGCTGCTCTTGCATATTGAATTTCACTGAAAACTTGTTTTAATTTCATTAAACGGGAGAGAGAGCAATTTACACATCAGTAAAGAGTCTGCCGCTGCGATGAAATAAATTTTACAGGACGAATCCCCTGCGGACTCATGTAACCGAGGCCGAAGCGTAAAAATATTGACATGTGGCTATGGCAACGATTGCCGGTGGGGATGAGGGAGGCGGGGAGGTGGCTGGTGGGGGTCATGGGTGCACCGAAAAAGGGGGCAGCGAAAGGGGGTCCAGGGGCAGTATCATATAACGTACAGACATTGCCCTTGTCATTCTTGCTGTTGTTGTGGCTCGACCAGCATTGCGCAAATAAAGCGGAAAATTGTGTTTTTTGCAACTTGTTTTTTGCGTGTTCGAAATAAAACAAAAAAAAACAATGAATGAAACTGGAAAAAAAAACAAACAAACAATCAAATGCATTTCACTGCCCTGCATGTACGAGGATATGTGCATGTGTTCGTGTGACCTTTGGCTTTTATTGTCGCCTCCTTCTCAACAGCAATTTACTTCAACCAACTCCCACCAATGACCTTTTTGATTTTACCTTCTCACTTAGTTTGTCTGCTCTCCTTGTTTTCGATCCGCTGTTTTAATTACAGTGGTTATTTATCTTTATTTTAAAGGGCAATCAGTATTACATTACTTGTTAAATTATGCTAAAAAAAATATAAGATTTTCTATAAGAAACCCGAAACTTCCAATTAGTTATACGGTTATAAAATTTTATAAAGGCACTAAAAGAATATTCAATATATATTTCGGTAAAAGAGCACTGTAGTGAAATTATTACTTTACGCCTTTGCATTTAACCCTACTCATTCTTTCTTTATTTGCTTTTTTTTTTTTTTTTGCTTCAAGCTGTTGCGTTAATTGCATATTAAAATTTATGCTGTTAATTGTTGGCAGCCCACGAGCTCCGGATGCATTGCCTTCATTGCCAGTCGCTCGGCTGAATTATGGGTTCCCGGCCAATGCGAATTCGCGAATTCCCTTCGCTGAGTGAAAGCCATCATCAACTCGGCTTGATAGGCGCGTTTCCATGGATGTATTTGTGTAGGGGAATGAGCTTTTCTGCCGCCTCAATCGTTACATTGTATGCATTTAATGGAGCCGCTGTACAAAAAGACCTGGAAAATGGCACTCAGGGTGAATCATTTTAAAGAATATTTAATTGGTTTTAAAGGTTCACACTCAAAACTTTTGAATAAAATAAAAGAAATCCTTTAATATATATACGAATATTAATTTACACTGTATGTATTATTTATTTGTATATTTATTTAAATGATTTATATGCATTTAAAAAAAGTTAAACATAATCACCTTTCACATTATCCCTAAGTAGAATCAGATCTAAATCCTATATATTCCAACATATTACTATGTAATGGGGATTCTATTTATCTGCCGCATATCCTAGCAACAGATGGTGGTTTTCCTGGTCGGTTGACTTATGCCAAGCCACTTTTGACTGGTCCAACGAGAGGGAAAATCCTTAGCGCAGGACTCACACAGTCCACGATGTGTAAGCTGATTAAGGGCCGCAAGTTTGGGCCAGCCAAAAGAGGGACTCAGGAGGAGCTGGTTGCGTCCCTTAAATTGGCAAACACTTTGTCGCACTAATTAAGCCACTTATAGGTGGTCGTGGGCCTTGGCTTCTTCTTAGTGGAGCGCTTCACCCGGTCGTATGCGTAATAAATATTGAATGCACCAGCGATAAGCTCAGCCCGGCAAAGGCCAAAGTTTTGCATCAAGTATTCCCTTTTTGGGCGAGCGTGTGGGTCACTACGTGATCCTCGAAAGAAGACGTGACGAGCTGCAGGACCCGCTCTGAATTGCCTTAATTTCCCTGCTTCCGTCGCCGTGAGCAAAGTGGAAAGTGCAAAGTGCAAAAAGAGGCTGTTTCTTTTCAGGCTCGTAAAATTACGAGGCTTGCAAAAAGGGTTTTCCCTTAACTTCACTTAATATATATGGTTTAAAATCAACTTAATTTATTTTCCCAGAACAGAAATATGTTTTCAAAGAGGTATTTTTGGTTGCATAGTAGCTCCACATCGCTTATTCTTTGGAGTAATATTTCAGTAATCTAGTGAATTGTTAACGTACTTTGAAGTATATGCAAGTAACTATCCAAAACTGACCCCAAACTTAAGCCATGTTTTTTTGGTAAGAAGCCATTTTTAATTAGCTTTTTCTAGTTTTCCATTCATCATAAAACTTTGCCTTGTCAGCATGAATTCTTTTTTATGAAAACAAGCCTTGCCGAAATATGTCTTTATAGGAAAAAGGGTAAATGTGTGTGTGTGTGTGTGTGTGTGGCAAAGGTGCAACATAATATTGCCGTGTTGTCACCGATTGTTGTAGTTGCTCCGTGTTTCCTGTTTAGTCGTGTTGTTATTGCAGCTGGCTGTTGTTATTGTCAGCCATCCCATCATCAACATCATTGTCGGCACCATCAGCGTTGATGGCTTGTTAAATTGCCTGTTTCACCTTGTTCCTGTTGTTGTTATTGTTGCACGTGTTACCTGAATGCGAGTGTGCCAATGTGTGTGTGCGAGTGTGTGGGTGTTGTGTTGTATGTGAGTGTGTGTGTAAAGGACGTGGAATGTTGTCGTGAAAGTATGCGTGTCTGGTCTTTGGCTCGCATACATTATGCACATTAGCGCACATTATGAACATGTTCGCTGTGACCCTTTCACAGGAACATGAAAAATCAGGGCCCCGAAAAACTAAAACTGGACAAGCGACAGTTCGTGACCTGATTGGCAACTAGCCAGAAAGGCGAAAGCGGCGAAAATGATTTTCACTCTTAAATTAGTCGTCGCATCGGCAGCCTTCTGCTGCCAGTACTGAAATTAAGTCGACCATCAGCCAGCCGGGTGCCTGCCATGTTTTCCATTCCCCCCACTCCCCCAATCAGGGCCAGGTTAAGTGTTTACGTGTGCACTTTAGCCATCATCAAAGCCCAGCCAGCGGATGTCAGCTCGGCTTAGGAAAAAGTGCGTTAGAGTGTTGGAATTGCCGGGAACTCGAAAAGTGCTGCCTGCTTTTCGGCTGACAAACTCCACTGCAGTGCTGAGAAGTTGATTAAAATAGGTCAAATATGGTTCAATGGGTATTTTCTGAAAAATGTTGGAGCTCACGGAACTGCAAGTAGTATTGTATTATTATTGCCATTACACTTAATGTTGAATACTTAACACTCGAATCCTGAGAGTTTCAAATGGATGATCTGCGCTGAGTTGCAATTATTATCTGATTAAGAGTCGTCTGCGAATTGAAACTGTTCCCAGCTTAAATGCTACTTAAATGCACTTAAATATGTCTACCCATTTAAACCCTTGCCTCTCCACCTCAAACCTTTGTGTGGCCATAATTATCGCTGGAAATGGCTCTGCACCAATCGATGGCGAAAAATGCAGACACAAAAAGTCGTACATGACAATGAATGTTAATTGCAATGGGAGACTGTCTCTTTCCACAACTCATTACCCCGCTCGCTCTTTCTCTGCTTGTCTGAGCGACTCTGAAATTTACGCGCTCAAATTATGTTTAATAAATGTGTTACAATAACAGAACCATTTTGCATTAAGGGAAGCCACAATTGTTAGTAACTGTGCGAGCATTTTTTTATTTTTTATGCGGTAAAAGCAACAAAAAGATCAACGAGCGTCAGGCTATGAAGATTAAACTCGACTGGAGAAGTCACCAGCAGCTAATGGAAATTATTATTTTTAATTAAGGATTGCCATATAAAGTGCACTTTTATTCCTTTGGAAAAAATAGAGCCAGCAGAACGGTTACAGTGATAAGTTTTTTCCAAGGCAATAACATTTTTCCCTAATAAAAAATAAAAATGTGTATAACCAGACTTATCATTACACAGTTTTCGGCCTTGTTATCCGATGCTCTAAATATATATATTTTTTGCTTAACTTCAATGTATCCTTTTATGTCAATTGTAATCAGATTTTATTAATCCCGCATTCAAAGCTTTCATGTCATTGGTTAGTCAAGCACTTTTCGCATTAATAGCATTAAAAACTATTTGAAAATCCAAAGCAACAAAAAATGTTCATTATTCCTTTACAGTGGCTATAAGAATTAACTATTGAAAGTGCTTTTTACTAGGGCATGATTTTTTTGCAATTTCTGCAGGCGAAAAACAACAAAAAGTGGACAAAATTTAGTAAAAAATGTAATATAATGAAATAGTTTTAGATTTGAACAAACTGATGCATGGTAAATATTATAAATAAATTAATTCATTTCACTGATTGTTTGGCAGTTTGATAAACATTTTTTCTTTGAATTATATAATTCGTTTCGTTGATTGTTTGACAGTTTATTTAATTACTTTCTTTGGCCATTAAATTTATGCTTCAATGTAATCTTACAGAATCCAACTTAGTTCTATCTATCGTTTCCATATCCTAAACTTAATCCTTGATGTGCATATGAACGTTTATTCTGATTGTACCTGGCACTCATTAAGTTGACTTTAAGCCGTGCAGCGCTTTGTCCACATTAATCCTCTTGTTCAGCTTTCATTACA